AGGTGCTGAGCCTGTAAACACTTTGAAGAAGATAATGACTGTAGGAGGCAGCTACATGCAAGGCCTGGCAAGAAACATTAACCAGGCTGCAACAATCAGAGCAAAATACTCATTGTGGGGATTTGTATTATGGCCAGAGCAGAGATCAAAGGAACAGCTAGAGCCCTGAAATATGGGCAAGGAGCGGGGGGGCTTTTATCCCAAACAGAGGAAGGCACCTCTGGGTGGAGATCAGATTCTTCGGAGGAGCCTGATGCTGTCAGGGTGTCTCCTCTCCAAGGAATCTGTGTGTGTGACCACAGACAGAAGGCTGACCCCACACAAGGCCCAGGCTTTGAATTTCCCAAGGCTGCTTAACCCTTAAAGTTAATGATTATGGATAGAATAAGAACTAACATGCTTACTCAGGGAAACTGCTGACATTTTTGTTCCCTTCCTCAGCTTCCTCTGGGCTAAATGAGATAATAGCCTTCAATAAAAGCTGAGTGGAACAAACACTCAGGACCATTTGCTGGAACCCCACAAACTGGCAGTGGTCCCGTGTTCTCACCTTTGAAAACTATTCTGTGTGTCCTGTTTTTTTATCTCTTGGCACTTTTAACTTTGTTTTTCTTCAGTCCATTGTTGCCAGCTCCACAGGTCTTAAAAGGTCTTAAAGGACCCTACCCCTGGGGCAGGACCCTGGCAACTAGTGGCTACCAAGTTGGAGCTGGCGGATACAGGACATGTCCATCCTCAGAAGATTCAACTGGACAGAGGTGCTTTAGACGAAGTCATTCTTTCCCATTGTTATTAAGCATCAAGTAGAAAAGAATGAGTTCAGAGGCCTGGCACAGTGGCTCACACCTGTAATCCTAGCACTCTGGGAGGCCGAGGTGGGTGGATTGCCTGAGATCATGAGTTAGAGACCAGCCTGAGCCAGAGCAAGAACCTGTCACTAAAAATAGCCAGGCATTATGGTGGGTGCCTGTAGTCTCAGTTACTCTGGAGGCTGAGGCAAAAGAATCGCTTCAGCACAAGAGTTTGAGGTTGTTGCAAGCTGTGTGATGCCAGGGCACTCTACCAAGGGTGACAAAGTGAGACTCTGTCTCAAAAATTAAAAAAAAAGAGCTCAGAGAAATAGCAGAAAGACTGAGGCTGGTATAGGGAAAATGTTCCCAACCTGTGTTCTGGAAACAGGGCAGGCTTGTTGCATTTCTATCCACAGAGACTCCAGGGATTCCCCCCACCTACCCTCTTTCAAGGCTTCCTAGCAAGTGACTGCCTCCTCCTGCAGGCTTCCCTGACTGGTCCAGCCCACACTGAGCTTTCCTTTCTTTAATACCTGGAGACTTCCCTCCCACTGACCATAGAACCATTTTATTTAATACACATTAGGGGACAGGTCCTGGGGAGAGGAGAGGATATAGAGCTCCGAGCACAAGTTAAGAAGAGAACCCCAGCAGCTGCAGTCCCCACCCGGCTCAGCCCCAGCTCCTACCTGGCTCACTGCCTTCTGCCACCTGCACAGGTTGGGCACGCAACACCTTGAGCAGCTCCTGGGCCCCTGTCTTCTCTGCATCACTGGCTCCTGCACCCACCCACAGGTAGGCAGCTGAGGGGGTTTTCAGGACAAAGGCATCATTGGAGTTCAGTGCACCAGCCTTAGGCATGACCTGCAAAGGTGGTGCTTGATTAATTAGGAATCAGACAGAAAGCCCTCAGCCCCTTCCTCATAGCCCAGGAGACCCTGCAGCTCTTAGCAGGGGCCATGGAGGAACAGAGCCCATCAGAGCTGAGAGCATGGACTCTGAACACTGATGGGCTTTGGCTGACTCCTGGGAGTCACTGATGCACTGTGACTAGCCAAGATGATTCTAGAATTCTGGACTGCATTATCAGAAGTTCAGTGCCCAGAACAAAGGAGGTGATAGTCCCATTCTCCTCTAGACTTTTCAGCCCATCCGGGAGAATTACATCCAGATCTGGGCCTTCCAGATGTGTCTGTAAGAGACAGCAGCCAACTGGAACGTAATGAGGAACTGCATCCAGATTGCAGAGGATGGACTATGTGGTAGGTTGTGAGCTGTCCATTATGCAAGGTGTGCAAGGGGGCACTGGAGGTCCTTGAAACAGGGCAAAGTCCAAGACTGACAATCCTGTTGCCAGGGCAGGAAGGTACAAAATGCTGCTTCCTAGCCCCTCACCCAATCCCCCCAATCCTGTTCCTGGGATCTGCCTCTGGAGGGGAGATTTCAGGGAGATCAGTCTCTCCTGTGGTGCAGGAGCTGGGTGTTACCTCAACAGCCCGGGTGGCTCCAGCGCTGTTGGCCCGGACCTGGAAGAGGCGGGTACTGGCGGGGGTCGTCTGCCCACCCTCACGGGAGGTGCCACCCTTGTAGATGATCATGGGTTTCCCGCCGAACAGGCTCATGAGGTGGGCAGGCTCCTTGCCTTGGACCACACGGCTCTGGCAGGGAGATGGAAGAGAGTCAGGGAAGCTGGGGTGGGAGAGTTATCAGTCCTTCAATGTGGCACAGAGAATGACCCTATAATGCACAGACACTGGGCAGGGAACCCAGAGTTCCAGGAAGTTTGGAGGCAGCACTATGGCCTGAGGTCCCTGGGGCCCTGCCTCAGCCACTCTCCCCCTCTACTTTGCCCTCATGAGGACGCCTTGCTGACCCCATGTCTGGTCCAAGACCCAGGAGAGCCTATGTTTGCAAATATTCCCTTAAAAGGAAGCACAGGGATTGTTCGTGGACATTCTTCCAGAATGGTGACATCAGCCCCGAGCATGCAAGCTGGTGGAATGGTGAGAATAGAACCTTCCAGATCTGGTAAGACCCTCTCCTGCACAGCCAGTGCACCCTAGAGGCAGGCTGAAGTCAGGAGCTTGGTTGTAGGAGGGTAGGTGGGCAAAATGTATGCCAAGATAGGTCACATTTGTTCCTTCCCAGTGTGCCAACCTGACTTCAGACTCGAGGTGCAGCTAGCTGGCTAATCCAGAAGACAACCTCACATGTGTTCCAGGGGGTACTGTGGTCACTTCCCACCATGACTCATCACTGCTGTGTCCAGGCTCAGATCCCAACTCCACCCTGTGAGTGAGGACTTGGACAGGTGCCTCGACCTTTATAAATTGTGGCCAAGGATGTTACTCCCAAGCTATTGTCAGCATGAGATGAGCTAGGATAGTCATCACCTCACCTACTGCCCAGTACCCAGACTGCCACAGTCAAAGGTCAGAGCACCAGCCCCAGATCCAAATTTAGAGCCTGCCCATCCCAAAGGGTGGGATGGAGGAAGCACAGGTCCTCTCTGCCTCCCCCACAACTCCATGATCTGGCTCTGCTGCAGCTCCAACTGTAGCCAGAGTGCTCCCCCCTTTTTTTTTGAGACAGAGACTCAGGCTTTCCCCCTGGGTAGAGTGCTATGGCATCACAGCTCACGGCAACTTCCAACTCCTGGGCTCAAGTGATTCTCCTGCTTTCGCCTCCCAAGTAGCTGGGACTATACGCACCCGCCACAATGCCCCACTATTTTTTGGTTGCAGCCATCATTGTTGTTTGGTGGGCCCGGGCTGGATTCAAACCTGCCTGCTCAGGTATATATGGCTGGCGCCATAGCCTCTTGAGCCACAGGTGCCGAGCCTGCCAGAGTGCCCTTCTAAGGCAGAAATCCCTGCACCTCAGATTTATCATTCAGCAACTTCCTGTTGTTCAAGGTCAGGATCAAGGTCAACATCCTCAATGGAAGCTGAGCCCTTCTGAGCACCTCTCCAGTATCATATCATGAAACTGTAATACCCAATGCCCCTTCCCAGCACAAGTCTTTACATCCACTCTTCCTTGGACATGAAATATACTCTCCCTCACTCTTTGCCAACTCCTGCACATCCATCCATTAGACCTCAGCTAAAGTTTCCCCTCCTTGAGGTGGGCGGGGAGGGTTCCAATCCAATTAGATCCTTCCTTACATTTAACACACATTAAATAAGGGAGGGGCCTCTTATGTGCCAGGCATGGCTCTAAAAATGTTAACTCCCAATCCTCACTGCAATCCTGAGAGATGGTTCTAGTAGCCCCATTTTGAGAACACAGAGGCACAGAAGGCGAGGTGACTGACCATGGTTGCCCAGAGGTGAGGGAAGGATTCACATCCAAGTGGCTCTATGTCCACTCCCTTAGCTGCTCAGCCATGCCACCTCTCCTGCATCCCTCTCCACAGGGTCCTATCATTGTCACTCACTGTATCCATCACAGTGTGTGATCACACGTCCATGGCGTGCAGGTTTGTTGAAAGTCTATCCTCCCCTCAAACTATAAAACCCACTGGGGCTGTGTGTCCATGGTCCACATGCAGTGTCAGGCATGTGGAAATATCTGTTACATGAATGGATGGACGGATGGGCGGATGGACAGACTCATGGATGAACAAATGGACAAAGCAGTGGGCTGGGCTCACCTGGACAGGGGTACCTCCCAGTTCCTCATCCAGCTGGGCGGTCAGGATGGCAGATGCAGCGACCTCGTCCTGGGTAGACTGGGCGCCCTGCCTGGAAAAGGAAGCAAGGCTCAGCACCAAGGTCTGGATGAAGCCAGAGCCTCCCTCATGCCCTGTGCCCAAGAAACCCAAGATCTCCATGTTCCAGGTAACAAAACTGAGGCAGAGAAAGGGACCCTCTCAGGAGCAGCCAGAGCCAGGCACCAAACCAACACTCACACTCTCGGCTCAGCATCTCGCTCTCTCACCCAGGCACAACAAACGGATGCCTGATCCTAAAGGTGCCTCCCAGGGACAGGCTCGATCATCCCACGCTGGGCAGCCACAATAGAAAGCTCTTCAAGACTCAAATATGAGATGCAGAAAAGTAGCCAGGAATTTCTTCGGGTGGAAAGGCGGGCCAGAGAATCCCAAGCATGACATGTGCTCATTTGTGGGTAAAGACATCAGGTGATTTAGCCTCATGCGGACACGTGCAGAGGTCTGTACAGATGTTCACCATGTACGTCGGTGGTGATGGCCCATAAAAGGGAGGTTGAGGGAAATTTAGGTTTTCTATCTTACCTCTTCCTATATCATTTAAATTTCCCACAACCAATATGTTATCTGTATAAGCAAACAAAATCTAACAAATCAATGTGTCAATGCAGCTAACTTAAAAAAATAAAAAAGCTTTTTTTAATGAAGCTCATGCCATGTACATGTATTATCTATCAAAAAAAACTTTTTTTTCTCTGTGAATCAAGAGTCTTGCTCTGTCGCCTGAACTAGAATGCTGTGTCCTTAACCCAGGTCACAACGACCTCAAACTGCTGGGGTCCAGCCATCCTCCTGCCTCAGCCTCCTGAGTAGCTGGAACTACCAGCACCCTCACCCCTACCCTGCCCAGCTAATTCAGTAAAAAGAAATATTTTTTATTCTTATTTTTTGGAGACAGAGCCTCAAGCTGTTGCCCTGGGTAGAGTGCTGTGGTGTCACAGCTCACAGCAACCTCCAACTCCAGGGCTTTAGTGATTCTCTTGCCTCATCCGCCTAAGTAGCTGGGACTACAGGTACCTGTGACAATGCCTGGCTATTAAGCTGTTTTTAAAAGTCTGAATTGGGAGTCATTCAACATAATAACAGACCAGTACGCCTCAAAAGTATGAAGGTCACAAAAGAAAAGGAAAGACTGAGGCACTGTCACAGACTCCAGGAGACTAAGGAGACATGAAGAGCATGTGGCACGTGGCCTCCTCGGTTTGATCCTAGACCAGAAGAAGGAACTGAGTGGGAAACCAGTGAAACCACAGGAACATCTAAAGATTGGTACACAGTACTGTCCTCATGGTAGTTTCCTGGTTGTGCTAACTGTACTGTGGTTATATAAGATGTGAACACAGGAAACTGGGTAATGAGAACTGACTGTACTGTTTTTGCAACTTTTCAGCAAGTCTAAAAGTATTTCAAAATAAAAAGTTTTAAAGAAGATGAAATCCAGCAGTCAATAATCTAACAAAAAGCTTGAGACTGTATAATAAAAGAAACGCAAATGAAAAGTACACTGAGAGATCACTTTATACATAAGGTTGACAGGCATCTACAAGTTGGACAAGTCGCCTGGTGTGGACATAGGGAAAAAGGCACTCTCACATTTGGGAATGTGAAAGGCTCCAGATATCATCAAGGGAAATTGGGGACTATCTATCAAAATGACAAGGGCATTTGCTTTGACTCAGCAATCCCACTTCTGGGAACTTACCCTAAAGATATTTCTCTACGCATTCAAAATGATGTTTGTTCGAGGTTACTAATCCCAGCAGTGCTTGTAATAGCAACAAAAGACTGGAAGCAATCCAAGTATGCACCAGCAAGGCCTTTCTTAGGTCAACTACAGTACAGCTGAAGGAATAGTCTGCGGTGTAAGGAAGGAGAAGGAAGAAGGAAGAAAGAAAGAAAAGAAAAGAAGAAAGACTAAGACCAAGAAAAAGAAGAACAAGAGGCACAAGGAAGCTCTGTGTACTGACACAGATGGATCTCCAGAAAGAACTGAGTTAGAAAACCAATTTGCAGCACAACACACACAGTACACTATCTTTTATGTAAGGTGGGGAGAGAATTAGGATTAGGAGTCATGTCTGCTTATATGGGATGTCTTAATAGGAGTCATGTCTGCTATGTAGGAATAGGAGTCAACTCTGTATGAAGAGTTGCTGGAAAGGTATAAAGAAATTAATGGGTACCCACAAAAGGGCAAGGATTGGAGAATGGGGAAAAGAGGGACAGGAGTGGGAAGGAGATTTCTCAATAAATTTCTTTTTATTTTTTATTTTGTTTTGAATTTTGGGCCATGTAAATGTATTCTCTGCTTTTGTTTGTTTGTTTTGTTTTGTTTTTGAGACAGAGTCTCATTTTATCACCCTCGGTAGAGTGCCGTAGTGTCACATCTCACAGCAGTCTCAAACTCTTGAGCTAAAACAATTCTCATGCCTCAGCCTCCCAAGTAGCTGGGACTACAGGCACCTGCCACAACACTCAGCTATTTTTAGAGGGTCTTGCTCTTGTTCAGGTTGGTCTCAAACTCATGAGTTCAGGCAGGTCTCAAACTCATGAGTTCAGGCAATCCACCTGCCTTAGCCTCCCAAGTACTAGGATTACAAGTATGAGCCACAGTGACTGGCCTCGTATTCTCTGTTTTTAAAGGAATTTTTAAAATAATGTTTTGTTTGTTTGTTTGTTTGAGAAAGTCTCACTTTGTCACCTTGGGTAGAGTGCCGTGGCATCATAGCTCACAGCAACCTCAAACTCCTGGGCTCAAGTGATCCTCTTGCTCAGCCTCCCAAGTAGCTGGGACTACAACATGCCCACCACAATGCCTGGCTATCTTTAGAGACGGGGTCTTGCTCTTGCTCAGGCTGGTCTCGAACTCCTGAGATCAGGAATCCATCTGCCTCAGCTTCCCAGAATGCTAGGATTCCAGGAGTGAGCCACCACTCCCAGCCCATTAAAATAATGTTTTAGGTTTGGCACCTGTAGTTCAGTGGTTAGGGTGCCAGCCACATACACTGGGGCTGGTGGGTTCGAACCTGGCCTGGGCCTGTTAAACAATGACAACTACAACAAAAAAATAGCCGGGCATTGTGGCAGGCGCTTGTAGTCCCAGCTACTTGGGAGGCTGAGACAAAAGATTTGCTTAAGCTCAAGAGTTTGAGGTTGCTGTGAGCTGTGACACTACAGCACTCTACCAAGGGTGACATAGTGAAACTCTGTCTTAAAAATAAATAAATAAAATTATGTTTGAATTAAAAAATATCTGTAGGAGGATTAAACCCCCATGTGCAGAGTACTTGGTATGGACTTTGGAAACATTCTGTTTGTTTCTTTTTTTTTCCTTTTTTTGTTAATCAGGCCCAGGCGAGGTTCTATCCTGCCACCCCTGGTATCTGGCTCTAACCACTGAACATGGCACTCAGTTTGCTTATTTGTTTCTTTCCATTGACTATATCTTCTACAATGGACTTGTAATATTTTGATGAGAATAGCTTAAAAGTTGTTTGGAGAAGTCAAGTGGTGTTGCCCTGTGGGACAGTCTTTCCCAGGGGGTGTGGCAGTCCCATGCTGGGCTTCATGCCCTCAGGGTTCCCTGCTCACTGCTTTCCCCTCCCTCTTGTGCTCTGGGCCTATCAGTGTCCCCCATGCTCCACTCCACACACACCGCAGGGCCCAGGCTCTCACCAGTTGTAGATGATCTGTCCCTGGCGGTTGCCATGGCGGTAGTTGTACAGAATGATGTAGCTGTCACCTCCATAGAACTGCCCATACGTGGCAGGGTCCACAGGCACCTTGTTGGAGCCTTCAATTCTCCAGATCTGCCAGAACAAAGCTGGGGTCAAAAACTGTGTGGGTATCTTTACCCCTCAACTCAGCCCAACTGGGAAACAGCAGCAGGGTAGCTCGTGGTTAGACCATAGGATGAGCTTCTTGTACTTTGGCTGAGACTAGGGTTTAATCATTTGCCCAAATCACAGAGCCGCTAGGAAGCAGGGTTGGGACTCAATCCCAGTTTCCTGCTCTGGATCCTCAAACCCTATGCCTGCCTCACCCTGCACCTTGCGCCTCCCTGCACAGCAAGGCAGCTCCTCACAGATGTGGCATGGTGAGGGTTAAAAGCCAGACACAGATCCACAGATTCGGTATCGGCTCCACCCCTTGGCAGTCCTGTGACCTTGGACAACTTGCTTAACCTCTCTGTGCCTCAGCTTTCTCAGCTGAAAAATGAAGATAATAACAGTACCTACCTCAAAGCCTTGTTGTGAGGCTCACACGAGTTTATTCATGAAAGCCTAGCACGGTGGCAGCTACTCTTATTACTGTAATTATTATTATTACATTACTAATGTTACCAATATCTGCATCATTATTGCACTGCCTGAATTTCACAGGCCACCTCCCGAGGCAGGGCCATCACGAGGTGACCTTGGAATGACCCCTGCTGGTTGGTTTCTTCCCGGATCTCTGGTGACACCACTTTTTCCGAGTGGTCTCAAGCCCTGTAGGGCCCCCTGGTGGTGCTACAGAGACACTGAGTCTCCAAGTCCCAGGAAACAGAATCTTCATCTCTGGATCTTCAACATTTTTGAAGGTGATGCAGTGGGATGAAGCCCCATTTTACAGCTGAGGAAGTGAGGCTCAAAGAAATTCCTTAATTCACCCCAGGTCACACAGCCAGGCTGCCAGAGATCTGTCCTCACTGCCCGCCCTGAATATTTTCATTGCATCTTCCTCACCTATTGAAGTAATAAATGAATAACACTACTACCACTGACAAAAACAATAAGTGAAAATTAACACTTTTTGTTATTCCTATCACTAGGAATGGAATCACTGCTTCCCTGAAGTGGATTCTACCTCCTAACCATCTCTAAACCTGCCCCGTTCTCCTCTGTGACCTTCTTAGTCTCAAAGTTGTGGCTTTCTCTCCCCTAAACTATTAGAACCACCACCTCATGGGCTCTCTCTATTTTCATTTTCCTGTCTTCTAATCATTCCCACAGCCAGTTTCTAAGGCACAGGACTGAACCTGTCATGTTTCTGATTCAAAAAAAATAAAAAGAAACAGTTCTTACTAGTACCCCACTCAGAGCAGTGTTTTTCAACCTTTTTTTTTTATCTCTTGGTACACTGGAACCTATATTTAAACTTCTGCAGCACACTTAAATTATGTTAATCAAAAAAGAAAGAAAAAAAGAATATACTTAACTATTCTTTGAACTTCTTTTGAAAATAATTTAATTAATGATCTTTAATTTTCACAACTAGATCCTCTCATGGCACACCAGTGTGCCACAGGGTGTCACGACAATAGCCTCCTGGGACAGCTCTCTCCTCCCCAAACATAGCAAGTCCTACCTGGATTGCCCAATGCTCTCCACTCTTCCTCTCCAACAGTGAACTCCTATCCTACTCTGCGACCCAACTCCAGGGTCCCTGTCTCCATCCAGGCTGCCCTGACTAGCTATCCCTACTGCCCTTCCCTTGTTCTGGTGCTCCCACAGGACTGAGCAATCAGATGTGACTGTGGTCACTTCCCCTCCCAAATCAGGCAATCTTTGGGGAAGGTGAGGTCTAAGACACATGGCACTGGGCTTGGCACTTAGTAGGTGCTTTGGGTACACAGAATGTAAAAAATAACACCAAGAATCTCACCTACTAAAACTGTGGTTGAAATTTCATGGAGAAACATCCTCAGGGGAGCAGAAGGCAGTGTGTGGGCCAGATGTGCCCAGGAAAGAGTGAGGTGAAGGGGCCTGGACATGCCCACCCAGCCCCTGGAGGTACCTGTTTCTGGCCTGTGCCGTCGTCATCCATGCCATGCTGGGCAGCCATGGCAGTGGAGGTGTGCAGGGTGGCAGCGTCAAATGGTACCCGCTCCACGTTGGCGATGTGGCTGGACAGGTAAGCCAAGCCCAGGCCATCTGTCTGGTCTGGGTCCCGCCAGTTCTTGAAGAACTGCTTGAACAGCGGGGTCTCGCCACCCTCAGGAAGGATTGAGACCTGGGAAAGAGCCAGGGAGGAGTCTGACGTGGCTGGATTGCCAGCGGGGCTCCTCAGGGGAAGCTCAGATACCCCATCCACACTGAGGGTAGGACTCTACCGCACCGCAGCCCAGTCCATCCTCCCCAAACTGGACCATCCCTCCTGTCCTACCTGGCCCCCAAGGCTCACCTGGGTCTGCCTGGGGTAGTCCATCTTGGAGATGAAATCAGAGGCTGTCTTGAGGGCAGCCTTCCTCTCCTCCATGTTGGCCTGCTTTCCTATTGGCGAGAGGAGGCGATGGAGGGTCAGGGGCCTGAGACTCCACTGCATCCTAATGGCCAGTGGTACAGCGTGGATAGCCAAAGCAGAGATGCCCAGCACTATCCACTCCTATAGTTCTTTTTTTTTTTTTTTTAGATAGAGTTTCACTATGTCACCCTCAGTAGAGTGCTGTGGCATCACAGCTCACAACAACTTCAAACTCTTGGACTGTTCTTTAGCTGCCCTGGGCTGGGTTTGAACCCACCAATCTTAATATATGTGGCTGGTGCCATAATCACTATGCTATGAGCACCGAGCCTTTTTTTTTCTTTTTAAGACAGAGTCTAATCTCACTGTCATCCTCAGTAGAGTGCTATAGTGTCACAGCTCACAGCAACCTCAAACTCTTGGGCTTAAGTGATTTTCTTGCCTCAGCCTCCCAAGTAGCTGGGACTACAGGTGCCCGCTGCAATGCCTGGCTGTTTTTTTGTTGCAGTTGTCATTATTCTTTAGCAGGCCCTGGCCGGGTTCAAACCCAGTGTATGTGGCCGGCGCCCTAACCACTGAGCTACGGGCACCGAGCCCCACTCCTAGAGTTCTTGGGGTCCATCTGGGGGTCCTGACCAATGACACCAATCACAACCACCACTGTCATCTGTCTACTGAGCATGTTTTTGGTTGAAGAACTACATATAGTGATCCATGAACAGTCTTATGTGAGAAAGATCATTATTATCTTGTTGTCATATACATGAACATATAAGGAAAACTGGATCTTCAAGAAATTAAATGACCTAACCAAGGTCACTCAGCAAGTGGGACATCTTTGAGACCCACCTTATTAACAATGAAGCTTACACATCACACCCTCAGGCTGCCCTCTCCAGGGCAGGGCTCCTTCCCACTGCACAGCCCAAAGTCTGTACCAGCCCTGAAACCATCCCCATGCCAGCTGAAAGCATCCCCATGCCAGCTGAGCTCCCGGAAGCTAGTGCCAATCCTCAGTCCCCAGCCTTATCACTGCCAAGGCCAGAACCCAGGCCAGCTGGCCCTGAGCCTAACAGGTCCAGACAAATTAGTAATACTAATAGTAGCTTTGGGGTATGTGTGTGTGTTTGTGCCTACCCACTGCCTTCCTCCCTCTGTCCCCTTCCTCAGGACTAGCCTTAGGGAATCAGGGGATACTGATGGGTCCTTTTGGAACATCTCAGGCCTCTCAGAAACACGTGGGCCAATGGTTTCCAAGGGTGTCCCACATGGTCCTCAAAGGGTTCATGGACTTCTAGCAGGGCATTTCCTAAACCACATCATCTTTGTGAAAAGCCCCTTCACACACCAGCAAGCTAAAAATCAACTTGTTTAGCATATTTAATGCACTGCTGCCCATGAATTTTTTGACCACAGAACTAAATGCTTTTTACATAATTTTTACATATTAACCTCTCAGAAAACTGGTATTATAGTGCACTTGGGAAACACTCATTTTAGCCGAGATAGGGAATCTGAGCCCAGAGAGGGTAAGAAAACGCTCAAGATCCGGTGGCACCTGTAGCTCAAGGAGTAGGGTGCCTGCCCCATATACCAGAGGTGGCGGGTTTGAACCCGGCCACCGGCAAAAACTGCAAAAAAGAAAATGCTCAAGATCATACAACATATCAAACGCAAAGCCAGGTTATTAGCCCCAGACTGCCGATTTCCACTGCACCAGGTGCCTCCAACACACGGCTCTACTTTGTCCAGGAGCTGAGTTCCTAGCAGCTGCAGGGCACACCACCCAAGGTCCCAGAGGCCAGTTGGGATCCTTCCCTTGTCCCCAGTACCTTTCCAGACAAAGATTTTCCCATCTTTTCCATGGTCCAGGATGAAACAGTCTTCTGACCTCAATGCCCCTTGGGCGAAGGGGTTCTCATCAGCCACAAGGGAGACAGTCATGGTGCCTGCGCCATTGGAGACCTGAGGGGACGAGGGAGAGGGAGCCACCATGTGAGCCTCCGTGTGTAGACACCCACCTGTAAGGCTTCCACTACCTCACCCTACCCCCATCTCAACTGACACTGCAGAAGCGTTTGTGGGGTTTTTTTGTTTTGTTTTGAGACAAAGTCTCACTCTGTGCCCTGGGTAGAGAGCCATGGTATCATAGTTCACAGCAACTTCAAACTCTTGGGATTGAGAGACCCTCTTGCCTCAGCCTTCCAGGTAGCTGGGACTATAGGGGCCCACCACAACACCCGGCTAGTTTTTCTATTTTTAGTAAAGACAGGGTCTTGCTCTTGCTCAGGCTGGTCTTGAACTTCTGACCTCAATTGATCCACCTGCCTCAGCCTCTCAGAGTGCTAGAATTACAGGTGTGAGCCCCCATGCCCAGCCAACAGCTCTTATTTTTCCAATGTGTGGCAGAAAAGAAAAAAAGATTGGACACCCCTGATTGTAGATGATTATTATAGAAAGATATTCCAGACCATGTTGACTGGGAAAAAAAAAAGGCGGCCACAGATCAGCATAAGTAGTTTGGATCTAGTCATATAAAACAGAAATGGAA